TCCCCATACAACCACAGATTCACTTCCTGTCTCTACAGACTTTCACATGAATGGAGTCATTTAATATGTGGACTTCTCAGTCTGGCATCTTTCACTTAGTACAGTATTTTCAAGGTTCATCCCTCTCAGGGTTTTTGCCTGGGCCTGAGAATTAAACTAGCATAAGACAGTTACAGGAAAAAAGCGGAGAGATGTACGTGAGTGTCACATGACACGGGAGCTCTCGTGAAAAATGGACACACAAAGAAATGGCCTCAGTGTGCCCCATGCCTCCTGCTAAGTGGCCCCAGACCCAGCACTAGCGGCAGCTGGCCTTGGTTTACAGCTTGGCCTCTCCCGGGCACCTCCAAGCCCAGCATAAGTAGCGGCCATCTGCAGATGGCTTTGTAGCTCATGCTGAGTGCCCCAGGTAGGGCACAGGCAGTGACTCACCTTGGCCTGCGCCTCCCGGGGGCCCCAGAGCCAGTGCCGGGTGGACAGCATCAGCCATACCGAAAGCACCACCCAACCTTCTCCACAATGGGCGCACTCATCAGGCACCAGAGCCCCACTGAAGCGAGTCCTGCTCCATGGGTTCGGCCCCTGAACAGCAGCTCCTCTGCTGTGGTTGCAGCCAGTCCTCACAGCTGATTGGGCTGGGGGTAAAACCCCATGGATGTGCCAACGGCAGCTGGCTCAACTACAGAGGATGGTGCACAGAGCCCACAGGGGACATGCACCTGGAGTGCCTGCCTCCAGGAACTGAGGAGGCTGACCGCTGGGTCCTACAGGACACCTACTGTGTAAGGCCACTCTATCAGACCAGGAGACGTAGCAGCTCTACCTAATACACAGGAACACACACAGGGAGGCAGCCAAAATGAGGAGATAAACATGTCCCAAATGAAAGAACAAAACTCCAGAAAAATAACTAAACCAAATGGAGACAATCTACCAGATGCAGAGTTCAAAACACTGGTTATAAGGATGCTCCATGAACTTAGTGAGAACTTCAACAAAGAGATAGAAAACATAAAAAAGAACCAGTCGGAAATGAAGAATACAGTAACTGAAATGAAGGTTACATTACAAGGAACCGACAGTGGAGTAGAGGAAGCAGTCAAATCAGCAATTTGGAAGATATGGAAGCAGAAACCCAATCAGAACAGCAAAAAGAAAAATTCCAAAAAAAGATGAGGATCCTCTGGGAAAATGTCAAGTACCAACGTTCGCTTTATGGCAGGAGAACAGAGAGCGAGGAATTGAAAGCCTATTTGAAAAAATAATGACAGAAAACTTCCCCTACCTGGTGAAGGAAATAGACACACAAGTCCAGGAAGCACAGAGGGTCCCAAACAAGAGGAGCCCAAAGAGGCCCAAGCAGGATACATCATAATTATAAACGCCAAAGATTAAAGACAGAGAGAATCTTAAAAGCAGCAAGTGAGCTCGCATAAAACTGCTACCTAATTTCTCAACAGAAACTTTGCAGGCCAGAAGGGATTGGCAAGAAATATTCAAAGTGATGAAAAGCAATGACCTACAACCAAGATTACACCACCCAGCAAACCTGTCATTTAGAATCAGAGGACAAATAAGAAGCTCCCCAGACAAGAAAAAACTAAAGGAGTTCATCACCACCAAACCAGTATTACATGAAACGTTAAAGGGTCTTCTTTAAGAAAAAAAACTATTTTAAAATATAAATAATAAAATGGTAAGAAATACATCTGTCAACAATTACTTAAATGCAATGAATTAAATGCTTCAATCAAAAGACATAAGGTAGCTGAATGGATAACAAAACAATATCCTTACAAATATGCTGTCTACAAGAGACTTCAGATCGAAAAATACACAGACTGAAAGTAAAGGGATGGAAAAAGATATTTCATGGAAATGGAAATGAATAAATAAGCTGGGGTAGCAATGCTTATACCAGACAAAAAAAGACTTTAAACAAAGGCTAAAACAAGGGACAAAGAAGAACCCAGCAAGTCCACTTCTGGGTATTTATTTTAAAAACCCAAAACACTAAATCAAAAAGACATATACATCTATATGTTCAATAACCAAGAAATGGCAGCAACTTAAGTGTCCGTCAGTAGATGAATGGATAACCAAGTGGTGCGTATCTACAGTGGAATACAACTCAGCCATAAAAAAGAAGGGAGTCTTGCCACCTGCAATGACATGGATGGACCTAGGGGGTACTGTGCTGAGTTAAAGAAATCACACAGAAAAAGACAAATGCCATATGATTTCACTCGTATGTGGAATCTAAAAAACAAACAAGCAGAACAGAAACAGACTTATAGATACAGAGAACATTTTGATGACTGCCAAATGGGAGGGAGTTTTTGGGGCTGGGTGAAAAGAGGGAAGGGGTTTAGAAGTACAGGTCGGTAGTTACAGAGTAGTCATGGGGATGTAAAGTCCAGCATAGGGAATATAGTTGGTAATATTGTAACTATGTGTGGTGTTGTAAGGTATATAAATGTCTAATCACTATGTTTTACACCTCAATCAATATTGTATATCAACTGTAATTTAAAAATTTAAATAATTAGCACCTAAGCCACCAATGGAATATTTTGCTGGACTTTAAAGCATTTTAAACCAAAAGCTTCACGAAGGTTCATTGGATGTGGGCTGCTCAGTAATACAAAGTTAAGAAGGAAAGGTAAGAAGTACTGGTTAAAAATAAAAAGCCTGTGCTAGACAGAATGACCCCAAAATGTCCACACCATTCCTGGAACCCGTAAATGTGTCCCTTTACGTGGCAGATGGGGCTCCGTAGACGTGATTAAGGGTCTCAGTAAAAAGGAGGCTCTCCAGGCCCATTGTGGTCACAAGGGGCCTTAAAAGAGGGGAAAGATCTGAACACTGCACTGCTGGCTTTGAAGGTGGAGGGACCGCCAGCCTCTAGGAGCCGGAAAAGGTGAGGAAACAGATCCTCCCCTGAACCTCCAGGAGGAACCACCTGCCGGCGCCTGGACTTTAGCCTGGAAGTCCCATTTTGGATGTCTGACCTCCAGAACTGTGGGACAGTACATCTGTGCTGTCTTCAGCCACTAAGTGTGTCACAGTATGTTACAGTGGCCGTAGGAAATAAGAGTTTACCACCCCTGTGCTCACAGCCACAGCCCTGGCTTCTGTGCCTGCTCCCCGGGCCTAGGCCACTGGCTCCTCTAGCCCACCCTCCACCCAGCACAGAAGTCACTTAAAATGCAACCAGATTGTGCACTCCCCTGCCGAGAGCCCCTGGCTGTGCCCTTCACTCTCAGGGTGCTTCCTGGCCCCCTTCCTGCCCCCCTGTGCCGCCAGACCTCCACCCGGGGGGCCCTCAGCCCCACATGCTCCTCTGGGCACTCCGTGCCATCCTGCCCTTCGAGCAGCAGCAGCCTCAGACTTGCCCCTCAGGGAGGCTCTGGCTGCATCTGTAACCTAAATCTTTATACATATGACATTTTAACATCCCTCACCACCCTGACTCTGAGCTCCATGGAGCCTGGAAGGATCCTCTTTGTTCACTGTTTTGCCCACGTGTGTCCAGGAAAGATCCATGAGATGAAGGAACGAATGAGCATCCTGCAGGGTTTTCCTATACGTGGTGGGCAGGACTATACCTCCCTACTGTGTATGTGTATGAGAATATTTTAATTCTTGTCCTTAGAAACTACACAGACGATACAGGATTTAGAAATGAGACCACCAAACACTGGCCAAAGAAGAATGATCCGTTCTATTCTCTTTTGTTGGGTCACCCGGGAATATGTCGCTATGATTGCTGTTGCCCCGCATTGTTTTTATCCACGTGTGCACCATTATCTCCTCTCCCTTCCACATAAATCCGAGACCCCTTCACATACGATGCGCCACGTCTCTGAGGCCTGGCTGGAATACTGAAATTCTGCGCCACACTGTCTTTGAATGACGTCACCTATTTGGTGTGCTCCATTTTCTCCTGATTTTCACCTCTTGTTGCTGGAGAAAATACTGTGACTGGTTTTCCCTTCCGCCTGTCTCATGACGGGGTCCTGACCCACTCACACTCCACCACCCCTGCCAGGTAATTGCCCACGATTCAGAAATCTTCCGAGAACCCAGCTGCTTCACTCAGGCCTTCAACTGACTTCGAACACTGCTTCTGTTTTTCTTTACTACAGTCTAATCTTTTGTCTTTTCCTGATGCTCCAGCCCGAAAGCCTGGAGCTGTGAGGCCCCAGGCCCCCCACTTTGTTTGGAGTCTCTGTTGGTCAGCAAATGCCCTCCTCTGTCACTATCTTTGCTGGCTGCTGCTCTGTGGTGCAGATGTTTGGTAACCAGTACCAGTGATCCATGCTGGACTCAGTTGTTTTTGGCTCTTGCACATGTACTGTGGAGACGCCCTTCTAATCAGACCCACCCTGACTGCCCTCCTAGGATGAATTCCACAAGCCCCTCCCCTGTGTCTGTGTCGCACCTTTGAAGGTTTTCTGCCAAGGGCCATTTGGATATTTATAACATCAGTCATGGGCCATACAAAATTATCAACTTAAAAATTAGCCTGCTATATTTGGTCAAACGTTTAATTAACTCACCCCTAATGTGATGGCTGGAACTGCTTCTCTTTGGTGAGGTCTTGGCAGGGCCAGACCAAATGATTTTGTGGGCAGGTTGGCCCCCTCCCCTGCTAGTATACACAGTGTTCTCCAAAGCACTTTCTTCTCTTTGACTTTGAAATGTGCCTTTGCTGGAAGATCAATGAAAAGTGGGGGAGGGAGAAAGCCTTGGCTGGTACCTTCTTTCGTAGGCTTAAAATTCGGCCTTAGCTGGTGGCCCCCACAAACTAGCTTGGGCTCACAACTATGCTTGGGTGCTTTTGGAAGGCAAAATCTACATAACATGGATTTTCAATTTTTCTGTTCTGCATTCACCAATCCGCTGGGAAACAGCCCGGCTTGGTCACCGCTGCATGTGTCTCAGTCGTCTGCATTCAGAATCAACTTAATCAGACACTCCCCCCCTCTGTCTTACAGTGACGTCACCCCTCCTGGAGAACCGCTGAACAAGAACAGCCAGCCCAGAGTGGCCTCCCGTTTCCCCAAGCTGTCTCGCAGCCACCCCAGGGAGACCCGCAATGTGGAGCCCCAGAGCGGCGACCTCTGACCTCCATGGACTCCCATACTCGGCCCTATGTGCTGCGCCAGCTGCCTCCACCCGGTCCATCCTGCACCCAGTCTGGCTATGGCAGCTGGCCCCCAACACCTGGAGTGACAGCCACACCCTCCCAGTGGACCCTGGAGAGCACACCTTCCCCACCGGTTACATGACACCCTGATTAAACTGGTCACAGAGAGCAAGGCTGCTCCTTACTGGGCAGACTTGGCATGTGGGCACCACTCTCCCAGGGTCTGCCATGAGCAGAGGTCGTCCTGTCCTTCCTCCAGCCAGGGCCACAGGAGCGTGGGCACTAGGTCAGGCCTGGAGCTCCTGGTTGAGAAGCGCAACCTCAACATTTCATTTGGTCTGAAGATTCACTCAGACACCACCTCTGACTCTTTCCCACAAGGGAATCAGAATGACTGTTAGTCTTTTTTTCTTTTTAATGTAATTGCCTGCTACTACCTGTGGCCAAGTTAGGGGACAGGTGTTCCTTTCCATTTTACTCCCCACCAGTGGTCATTAGATACAACACTCTTTTTATCGCCGCCACGGCCATCAGCTTTGTGGCATCTTCTCCAGGGAGACCGTCCAGGGCCTTCGTGTAAAGGGGCCAGTAAGTGATGCTGGACTGTGGTTCCTGGAGCACAACTGGCTTCTGGGAGGAGCAGCCCCCATAGGAAACCCAAGGCCCCTGGATCCCATGCTCCCTTGTCAGGTGTGGGGGGACCTCACCCATCCAGCCAGCCATCAGCAGCAACCTGGTGGCCCCACATTGGAGAGCCAGGGCTGTCCGGAAATCGGGGGCCTTGGCCTTACAAGCCAAGAGGCGTCCCGGTGTGAGACTTGGCTCTGTAGAAGGGTGTGTGGGCCCTTAGCTTGCACACCTGGCTCTGGAGCTCCATGGCCTTCCACGTGGCTCTCCGTGAACTGGGACACGTCTCCACCTTGAACAGACCATGATCATCCCCTTACAGACGTGGGCTCACAGTGCACCCTCTGTCCCCAACAAGCTCTCAGTGGGAGCAGGACCCTGCGTGTCCCTGGACTGATTCCTCTGTCCTGTCTCAGAACAAGCCCCGCTGACAAGTGGGAACAGGAGACAGATGAGAGCGTGGCCATCACCCAGGCTCCTCCCCTAATACTCCTCGTCAGGACCAGAGCTGCCGGCCAGTTGTCAGAGAATCATGGAATTGTCCCTCCCTGGGCAAGAGCCGTCCTCAGCTGCCGAGAACTGTTAGGAAGAGTCTGCATTTTCTGGGGGAAATATTAAAAAACTAGATACGAGGTTGTGAAACAGACTACGTGGGACTAAGTTAAACCTGAAGATAGATACGTAGGAATTTGATGATGTGAATGTGTGAAAGATGGTTAGTGGACGGCTAACCATGTTCTTTACCTGGAACTGTTTCTGCTCAGCTTGAGCTTGGTGAACAGCTGGGTGAGCAGTGAGCATCTCCCAGGTAGACGGAAACTCTGGAGAGAAGCTTCTGGAAGTTTGTGCTGTTTGTTCTCTTAGCCAGGGGGACCTTGTTCAGGGCAGTCTGGTAAAGCTAAGGCGATGTCCGCACAGCCCCCAGAGCAGCAGAGGTGGCCTGAATCGCTTCTGAGGGAACATCCAGCCAGGTGAGCTGTGCCCAGGTGAGCAAGGGGCCCACTGTTCTCATGGCTACAGGCTGGAGTGTGTGGCAGGGGACCCTGCTGTCACTTCATGGGGGCTAGAGGACCTGAGAGACACTGTGACCTAGAGAGGCAACATCGTTTCTTTCTTCCCCTGTTTCAACTCCGAGTCCCATAGGGCTGGCCACTGTGGCTGGCTGCTCCGGCAAAGCCCTCCTCTAACTCATAAGGACTGTCCCAGACTGCCAGCTGCCCCAGCCACCTCGAGCTATGTGAAGTAGGTCTTCCATCCTAGCTGAACTGTCCAGCGCTGCCTGTCTGGACAGTGGAACCTGCCCCCAGACGACTGCTCTTTCTGTATTAGACACGGGATGGAGCCACCCATCTCCAGCAGCGGCCCCCAATCCGGGGCCATGGGTTCTGACCAGCCAGCCTTTTCTGGCACCTGACCTGAAACACATCCAAGTGTGAACCTGGCCTCACCTTCTCCAGCCACCCCCAGGAACCTGCTCCGACTGCTTTGGCAGGACAGATAAGCCAGAGACACAAGTCCACCCCCAGCCTGTAGTCAAAAAGGAGAAACCCTGCCTCCCCACTTTTCAAAGCTTAATTATTCATGGAAAACGTGCCCTGCTTTCCCACTGTGGTTGTAAAAGCACATTCCTAGGGGCCACTCAGGAACCTCTGCTGCTTGCTTTTTGCACCCCCTTTTTTGTGATCATGCAGAAACCTTGAAATCACCTTTAACGTACAGACACCCCTGATTTTAGCTCAGATATGCACGTGACATGCACATTACAGCAACTCCTCCAAGCCTTAACTTTGGAATCACATAGAACATTCTCAATGATTTAGCCCCTTCAGCTGCTCAAAAGACCCTGGCCCTGCTCTGCAGTGTGCAGGACAGACTCACCTAGGTCCCGGAGAAAGACACAGACCACTGGGTCCACAAGGTCCAGGCCAAGCGCTGGTGCATTAAATGCCACCCCCTCAGGACAGTCACCTGCCCTTCAACCTGGATCCAAGTCAGAGGATGGGCTGTCCTCCCTCTGAGCACCCCTAGCCCCTGTGACCCATCAGCAAGAAGATGGACAAGACCCATGGAGGTTGCCTGTCCCTTGATCCAATTAGAAGATTATTCCGTGCCTCCAAAATTGGCAGCTAAGAGAGGAAGCCTTCCCTGTTCGAAGGGAAGCCAAGGGCGCCTGCCTCGCTCTAGAGGCCTTGAGCTCGAGGACCGCGCCTAGATTGGGCGGAGAGCCTGGTCTAGGTCCTCTCACCAAAGGCAGGCTCTCGGCTCCCGGGTGCTTCAGCAAGGACGTCACTACGGTGTGTCTCTGCCATTGTCTCAGTTGTTTCTTCATCCCCCAGATGAAACAAAATGCAGGAAGAACAGGGCTGGGCAGAGATGTCTCTCCTTAAAACAAAACCAAAGCTCCAGGAAGGGGTCCGAGGCTGGTGTAAACCTAGCCCGGAGCCACTCCCAACTCCGGAGGAAGCCTGCCCGGCCAGTTCTAGGGTCCGCAGTCGGGCCTGGCACCGCTGGCTCCATCATCTCATTCCCTGGCACACGCAGCTCCCGCTCCCACCAAGCAACCCACTGCAGAGAGCTCGGAGCCTGTCTAGCCAGGCCCGGGAAATACCCAACAGCTGCGCACATCCGCAGGCTTCCTGCTTACAAAGGGGTCACCTTTGAGTGGTAAAGACAAAATACCATCGTGTGGGACCTGGTGAGAGGCACCAACAGCGAGAGCGAGGGATGCGGGCAGGGTTTGTGGACAAGGTCTAATTTCAGCACTTGGCTTAGCTCTGCTCTGCTCGGAGCTTATTAAGATGAGTCCTTTGATAACCACTGAAATTTTACAAGGTGGCAGGTTGTGTGTTGTGCCTGGAACAAAACAGGCAATCAAAACTATTTACATTCGCAGGGCTGCTAACACCGTTGGTAACTGATGCTGGAGGCCTAATAATGAATCCCCAGGTTTGGAGCCAGGTCAGGGGACGAAGGAAGACAGCCCACAGCCTGCTGCTGATCAAATGCCGCCTGCTCACTTCCTAGCACCCGGCTGTGGCAGGGCCAGCTCCCGGCCGCCTCTGCTTAGTACCCCATGGGACAGTTTGTCTACCTGAGGACCAGGTCCCACCCCACCTGCTCATTTCACTTGGTGGCTGCCCAGAGATGCCAGCTGCACGTCACGTGGATGCCAGGCCCTGTTCTCTGGGGTCCCAGCAGCCGTCATCGAACCAGCCCCTTAGCATCCTTCCTTCATCCTGGCTTCTTCGTATAAGCCCAGTGTCCGTCCGCCGTGAAGCGCTCACTCCATCTCACCTTGGCTATAACTCACTGCAAAGAACAGGCTGGTTTCAGCTTAGACCTGGGGATGGGCAGGCCCAGACCTGCCTGAGAAAGGCCCTGAGCATCATACTGGCTAAGATGTGTCCTAGACGGGCACACCTCTGTTCAGTCTTCAACCACAAAAGTAACTATTTTCTCAACCTTTCCTTGGCGGTTCCCTCTGGACACGACCACACACTTGGGACCGGCTCCCCAGCCTCGGCCTTGGCCTCGGCAGACACAGGGCCCTGCAGCAGGAGGCGTCTGCTTCTGAGCAAGGTGTTTGCAGTGATCATTTCTCAAATATTGTACATTGTTTCATTAAAGCTAACATTAAATATTTGCTGTTCAGATTGGCTTCTGTGCTAATTCTGCACAATTGTAGCACTGTATATTTTATCTAAGATTTCCGTGCCAACAAGTTCGTTTTCATGTTTCTGTAACACGCGGTCTTGATTATGTTTCTAAAATAAAACTCCAGCTCCTGGATCAATAGGCATGAGGGTGGAGCGCCGCTGAGCGCCGTGCTCCGAGGGAACCAGCTGCTCACCCGCAGTTACCGCAGTTCATCTGATTTCTCACCTTTTCCACCATGCGCCATCGCCAATGAATGGGCCTGATTTCGGTCACAGAGCCCTGACTTTTGTCTCTGAACCTCAATGGCCACATTGAACGGGCTTCCTGACCTACCCAACCTGTTTCTTTAGGAAAAAAATCTGGTTTCTCTAAAAGATGGTTGAGCCTACAGCCAGGATGGTCATCCCACGAGTAGAACATGGTGGGTTCATTGGTGTTGTGAAGTCCAGGGGTCAGGTCCTTACTGGCACAGGAATGTTTTCCTGTCAAAACTGGAAAACCACTAGCTGACCTGTCCAGGCTGCCACCTGCCCCTCAAGCCTGCTCAGGTCTGCTCCCAGCCACCATGAACTTCAGGGGGGAGGCACCCCTTTTGACAGCTCTTCCCATCCACAGGCCGTAGGAGTTGCCCTTGCAAAAATGGGCTGGGGACAGGGGAGGAGATGGTGGGCTGTACCTTTGTGACCCGAGAGTTGCTGACCGACTCCAGACACAAGCTTGGGTAGGGGTTGGGGAGCTAACTAGGGTTTTTTAATATCTGGGATTCATCCTAGAAAGAATGTCTTTACCTCTGCAGCCTTAGCTTCACCATCCCTGGCACAGCTGTTCGGTAAAACACTGCTTGACTCATGAGATCCTGACTTCCTGGAGGAGGGGGTCTTTGAATGCAGGAGCCGCGGTCACCCCAGTGGGAAGCCTCAGCCTGCTGGAGTCCCCAGGCTGGGTCCCCATGGTCAGCTGTCGGGTAATAAAGCAACACGTGGAGTCTGGTCTGCTGCCTTGCTACACAAGGCCTAGGTGTGCAGGTTTGCTCTGAAATGTAGTATTATCTCAACTACCCTCTTATGTTAAGGTTTACATGATGGAATTTTTAAACAAATGTGTTTAATTTTCTAAAATCTCTTGTATTAAAATTTTCCTTTGGAATAAGCTGTGGTAATTTTGTTACAATCTGGTTGAGATACACCTCTTTACAATGACAAAATAAAAATGGTGACATTTTATACATTAACTATTCGGCTTTTGGTTTGTTTCTTCGTCTCAGTTCTTTTTCAACAGTTGAATCAAAATTCCATAGAGAAAAAAATCCCTCATTACAGGTTCCTATTTGTTTACTCAAACACAGATAGTTACTGGGCACCTGCTGCATGCCAGGCACTGTGCCAGGCACTGTGCCAGGCACTGGGCATACGGTGTGAACAAGGCAGAAAAGACCTGCTGTCTTGGACTTACACCCCAGACAATGAAATGATTTCCCCCCCAAAAGTCAGCCATCCAGATAATTTGCAGTAAGTGCCACAAAGAACTCGGGTGAGCAGGACGCGGCGAAGGGATGACAGGGCCCAGGATCTACTTCAAACAGCTCAGGCCGGGTTCCCGCCCTTGGCGCTGCCGACACTGGGTGGATACCTCTGTTGTGGCCCGTCCTGTGCACTGAGGGTGGGACGGCATATCCCTGACCTCCGCCCGCTGATGCCAGCGGAAACCTTTCAGCTGTGACGGCTGAAATGTCTCCAGATAGGGCCAGGTCACTCGAATGAGGGCGGTGGTCCCTAGTTGAGAACCGTGGGGCCAGGCCAAGGGCAGAAGTGACTGACATTTAAGCTGTGACCTGTGGCGGAATGAGGAAATGCTGCACTGTCCCCCACTCCCGGCAAAGTGACTTTGGCTTAAGAATCCAAACCAGACAGCAAGGGCCTTGACCTTTCTACCCCAATCATGGTAACTGAGGAGAACTGTCCCTTGGAGGGAGCGCTCGGCAGGAGGCGGTGTACGTAACTCGGCTCACCAAATCCCGGGGGTCCTGACAAGGCCCCACGCGGGACATCCCCACAGCCCCGAGCCCAGCGCTGTGGCACGGCCCCTCCTGGGCTATGGGAGGGGGAGGAGGCAAACGCTGCTTTTAGGGGCGTGGGTGTGCCGGCCTCCAGTTTAACCCCATGGCACCCAGCGAGCAGGAGCCTTCCTCGGCATTTGAGCAGGTGAGAAAGTGAAGCAAACTGTGCTGGCTTGAGGTCCCGGCTCCGAGGAGATGG